CCTGGTGCTGCTCCCGGGAGCCTGAGATCCTTCCTTCCATCGTAGATTACCATGACTGTGGGGGCCACCTCAGAGGCCAGTACGGCACAATCTCCACCTATGAGGGGCCGGAAACTGAGTGTGTCTGGACCATCCAGGTGGACCCTGGTTACCAGCTTCTCGTGAAAATACCCTTTCTCAAGTGAGTGTTCAGGTGTATGAGTTTTCTTTTCTGATGTTATAGTTTTACGGGAAGGTGTCCCTCCTGGCCTCTTCCATTTCCCCCCCTACCATCCAGCACACACATCTAAACACATCCTGGCACCATCTCACTCTCCAATGAAAACCCTTCGATGGCCCTGTGCTATCTAAATAAGTTTTAGTCTTACATGGCATTCAAATCCCTTCCTGATACAGCTGGAACTCCCCTCCCTTCTAACCTCTTCTTCCCCCTGCCCCGCGTCTGAGCTGAGGACCCACCAGACCACTGGGCAGCTCCGAGCCTTTGCTCACACCTTCCCCTCCTGCCTGGAATGCATCCTTCTACCTCTTCCAGACTCACCTGCTGCTGCATAGGGGCCTCATTTGATATTTCATGATTTAGCTTGAGGATAACTTTTCCATCACACGTGAAATTCCTTTTTTGACCGTGCCCACATGTGGGCAGATCTTTCTCTGATTTTTCCCCGTCCATTACCCTATGCAGATTCTGGGTGGAATTTACAGCATAACATCACTCCTGTCTACATCTGAGTTTCATGTACAAGAAAGGGGGTGTATTCTTTTTAACTAATAAGTAAATAAATAAATAAAAGAATGAATAAATATTCAGAAGAGTGAATGAGGTGATACAGCCACAGAAGGCAGTTCTGACGTAGCAGTAAGTGGCAGCATTTCTACAGCAGATTAGTCTTCATAGATTTTAACACCAGAGCCCCATTTTGGTAAATTGCAGACCAGGTGGCACACATCCCGCAGTGGGGTTGGCATGGGTGATGCTATCTTGTGAGGAAGGGGCCGCTGCGCCTCCAGAACTTTCGCTATGTCAGGACTTTCACCAGTTCAAGAGCTGCTCTGTGGGAGGAGGGCAACCTAGAGGTGCCTGCCTCACGTAGGGTTTGGACCCTCTACCCAAACCACAGCCCAGGGGTGAAGAATTTGGGCATTTCCTGCATCACCATTTCTAGGTTCTTCTGTAATCTCCCCATTTTGTCTCTTTGACCTTTACAAAGATCAGTTTTGCATCTGACTGTTCTTGGCACCAGGGAAGGAATCAGTCTGGCCCAGAGCAAGCTAGTGTTAAGGGTCCCAGGTGAGCCCTGGTGAGATGTCCCTCCTCTGTCTTGTTTTCAACCAGAGAGGACTGGTCCTCCCTCCTGTGTAGGAGACATGCTGGTGGCCGAGTGAGAATGACAGGCTGAGGATCAGGTCTTGATGAGGAGAAGGAAGAGATGGGAGCCCTCAGCAGGACTGTGACAATCCAAGGTGCACTTTGCCCACAGGAGGTGGAGATGGACACCTCTCTCCCCTCTGCTGGTCCTGGAGGCCAAGCTGGGGTTGCAGGGCCCCATCTGACAGGGATGCGGAGGGTGAAACAGGAGTGGCATCACGCACTCATGTCTGGGCCCCTCACCTGACACAGTGGTTGTTGCCCAAGGAAACATTCCACAGGGTTGGCTCTGTTGTGATGCTTGAGGGGCCTGAAGGACAGTGGCTCCTGATCCCAAAGTCCTGCCTGGACTTCCCTGGATCCCAGGAGATGAGGAAGTCACCTGCAGCCCAGGTGCAGGGGAAGTCCTCTGGTGGAGGTGGGAGGGTCTTGGGTGACCATCCTTTTTTTCAGAATGATGACTCTTCTTCCCTGTGGCACCAGGCCTGGAATGTCTCATGAGCAAAGCTGTGAGACCGTGTGCAGGCCCAGGTCGGGGAGGCTGCCTGCAGGAGGGACCACGATTCCAAACGTTGATGTCTGCCTTTCCTTCTGCCCCAACAGCCTCGACTGTGGTAAAGAGTACGTGGAAATTCTAGACGGACCACCAGGATCTGAGAGCTTTGGGAAGTTTTGTCAAGGTTTAAGCATCACCAATCATGGTTCTTCTACAAACATGACGGTCAAGTACAGCAGAAATCCCGACCATCCAGCCTCTTCCTATAAGATAGTTTTCCTTCGTGATCCACTAGGTGGGTAACAGAGGACGGGAACCTGCTGCTGTGCGCTCTTGCCCGGGCACAGTTTTGTTGGAGTTGGGCATGTGGCTGTTTCCATAACTCTTGAAATAAGCTTGACCATCACAGGGTGAGCGAGAGTCAGTGTGGCGCAGTGAGCCTCTCCAGAAACATCTGCCAGTTCGAGCTCAGCATTTCTGCATCCCCAGATTTTGCGGTTGTAAAGACCTGATTTGCAATTCTTTTACTATTTTATTTTACTTTATTTTTACAAATTGTATTTTTCATCTAGATGATGTGGCAATTTCCTCTAAAATATAAAATTTCCCTTCTTGATTTTATTATACCCCTTTGGCATTTTCCAGTGTATATATTTAAAATGTATCGTACATGTAGTATACTACGCAAAATGTATACCTATATCACATATATAGTTATAGAACAATTATGTAGGTTATATATATAGAGAAGAATGTATAAATATAGTATACTATAGGAAATTTATATTATGTTTGCTATATAAATAATTCTGCACACAAATATATGTATGTAACCTAGAACAAACCAGACACAGTCCCTAAACATTGTTTGTCTGTTTGTTTGTTTGTTTGTTTCCTCATTAGTGACTACCTGAAATTTTCCCACGCTTATCAAGTAGAAGAAAATGCTTTTTAAATCGACTTAACTAAGCTCTGGTTAAGCTGCCCTCCATCCCGCAGGCTAGCAATTGTTGCCTCAAGCTTAAGGTATACAAGTATTGCCAATGAGAACAATCTTCCTCGAAGACTCTTCTGGAATCAGCTGACCTCGAGGAGAGACATCTCCTGGTCACCTGTCTGATGACACCTGCTCAGCCCCTCCTGCCTCTGCATCCTTTCCAGCCTCTGCCTCTTCCTGCAAAGAAGAATTTCTTGCTCCTGAGCTTTAGATACTTGCCAGTCTTGTGTTTGGCTCATTCTGCTTACCGCTATGACCATTTTGAATAAAGTCTCTTTACCTGGGCCTGGATTTGTTTTTTTCAGTGTGAAAGTCTTCATTTCACAGGGTTGGCATCTCTGGCATCACTGACAGTGACTGAAACCTCTTCTGAAGATCTTTAAATAAGAAGGATTCTCATTTGTCTGCGGTCTGTCTCGGGATGGGATCCTGCCGATGTGTGATTTCTCTCATTTGCACAGGAAAAATCTCCACAGACACAGAACTGAGACATTGGCCCGGCTGTCTGCTAAAATTTCTTGCAATAGATAAAGCATATTAAGTGAGGATGTGTTAAATTTATTCTAATTCCCACTAACCAACTATAAATTGCACTACATCAGAATCTCTTTAAAAGTTCTGAGAAGAGTGGCACGTGAAGCCCACACGGTTCGTGGGGTAGTCAGACTCGGGCGATGCTGCCTTTATCAGACCAGGAGTTAGGAGGATCCGAAGTCACAGTGGTCCCTGTGCGTCACAGCCCCTCATAGGCCTGGCACTGCCTCCATGTCCTTTTTCTGTTTCACGAGTAGAGGGGAGGTGGGGTCTCTCCGCAGACTTCGGGCAGGGTCAGAGGGTGGCTTGGGAGCAGCACTCCCTGTGTCTGGACCACCCTGGTGAGGTCAGCTCAGCAAGCCACACTGGGATTTCCTTTCCTCAGATGAGTTCTCTGCAGGAGGGTTCTCTTTGCTGATGTTGCAGATTCGGGAAAAATTCCATGCTGGTCTTCCTCTCCCTTCTCATCTCTTCTCCCCTCTGCTCCCTCTCACTGCTGGGCCATCACACACTGAGCTTTAGAAACAGCAGTTTGCTAGGCAGCTCCGTGCCTTTGCGCACACTGTCCACTTGCCATGAAAGCATCATTCCAACCCTTCTAGTCTCACCTGCCCACGGCTGAGGGTCCCCTGTTAGTATATCCTGGTCCAGGTGATGGGCTGCCTCGACCATCACAGCTTCCTGACCCCTCCCAGGTGGACAGATCTCCCTCCTTCATCCCATTATCTACGTCCTGTAACCCTCTAGGTGATCTAACTGCTGAGTATCATGTGTTTGTTAATTGGATGGGTCTACCATTGCGAGACTCTAACTTCAGGGTCCAAGTTGTAATTCTTAAATGAATGAGGGGATGAGTGACAGCCACAGATGAGTTTTCAACATTCCAGTAAGGTGCTGCATTGCCATCCAGACAATTGTCATTGATGTTAGCACGGGAATCACATATCCTCGAACTACAGGCTAAGTCAAACACAGCCCATAAAAGTGGATGACGTAATTTGTGTGTGTGAGGGTCCCTGTCCCTCCAGGCCAGGTGGGAAAGACTGTGTAAAACTATGCTGAGGTGGGTGAACTTTATCCTGAAGGCAGGGAGCCATAGACGGGTTTTCAACAGGAAGTGAAAATGGAATCAGATCCCGTTTAGACGCCTGTGCTGGATGCTGGAGGGTGGAATGCGAGAGACCAGCATCACCTGAGTCTGACAACCCCACAAACCGTGTGGGCTTCATGTGTCACTCTTTCAGAACTTTTTAAGGGATTCTGATGTAGTGCAATTTATAGTTGGTTAGTGGGAATTAGAATAAATTTAGCACACCCTCACTTAATGTTCTTTATCATCAACCACAGTGCCACAAAGTTTAGCAGAGAACTGGGCCAGCGTCTCCCGTGTCTGTAGAGGTTTTTCCTTCACAGGAGAGGGAAACAGTAAAGAGACAACAACCCCATCCCAAGACAAACCGCAGACAAGTGCGATTCCTTCTGATTTTTAAGACCATCAGAAAGAGTTTCAGCCATTCTCAGTGATGCCTGAGGTCCCAACACAGTGAAATGAGGACCTCCAAACTAAAACAAACAACAAAAAAACAAATCCAGACTCAGGTAAAGAGACTTTATTCAAAATGGTTATAGCAATAAGCAGAATGATCCAAACACAAGACTGGCAAGTATCTAAAGCTTAGGAGTAAGAAATTTTTCTTGGTAAGGGAGGGACAGAGGCCGGAATGGATGGAGGGGAGGGACGGGATGAGCAGGTGTGATCAGACAGGTGACCAGGAGATGTCTCTCCTCATGTCTGCTGATTCCAGACAGTCTTCAAGGAATGTTGTTCCCACTGGCAATGCCCATGCACCCTTAGGCGTGAGGCAGAGATCGCTAACCTGTGGGATGGAGAGCAGCTTAAATAGCGTTTGGTTAAGTCAATTTAACAAGCATTCTCTTCTGATTGCTATGTGGGGGAAGATTTCCGCTAGTCATTAACGAGGGAAAAAAATTCACTTTTGAGGGACTGTGTCTGGTTTGCTCTCACCTACATTATATACATGCATTCATGTGTATGTTTATATCATTAATATTTTTATAGTGAATGTAATATAAACTTCCGATAGTGTACTACTTTATGTATTCTGTATATCTATACATATATCTGCTATATAGCCACCTACTTCCTATATACCTACATGTGTGACACATACATACATTTTGTACAGTATACGATGTGTAATACACATTCTAAATAAATACGTTGGAAAATGCCAAGGAGATTTTAATAAGATCAGGAAGGGATATTTTTTATTTGAGAGGAAACTGTCACTTCATCAAGATGTAAAGTCAAATTTGTGAAAGAATTTTCATTTCAGATCTTCCCATCCCCAAGATGTGAGGATGCAGAAATGCTGGGTTAGCACTGGTGGGTGTTTCTGGAGAGGCTCCCTGAGTCACAATGACACCCTCACCTAGTGATGGTCAACCTTATTTCAAGAGTCATGTAGACAGACTCAGCTCCAACACAGCCATGCGGACAGAGGAGGGCACGTCAGTGGAACGCTGCCCCCTCCTACCTACCTTGTGGATTCTTAAAGAAAATTATCTCATAGGAGGAAGCTGGGTGGTCAAGTTGTCTGCTGTACTTGACTGTCATGACATTGGAAGAAGATCTATACTCCAAGTTTAGACCTTTACAAATCTTCCCATAGCTGTTAGATTCTGGTGGTCCATCTAGAATTTCCACATACTCTTTATTACAAGTGAGGCTGTTGGAGCAGAGGAAAGGCAGATGTCACCTTTTGGAATCATGGTCCTTCCTGCAGGTGGCCTCCCCAACCTGGGCCTGCACACAATCTCACAGCTTTGTTCACGAGACATTCCAGGCCTGGTGCCCCCACGGAAGGAGAGTCATTTTCTGAGGAAATGACAGTCACCCAGGACCCTCCCACTTCCACAACAGGACTTCCCCTGCACCTGGGCTGCAGGTGACCTCCCCATGTCCCGGGAAGCCCTCTTTAGGGCTCAGGGAAGTCCAGGCAGGACTTTGGGATCAGGAGCCACTGTCCTTCAGGTCCCTTAAGCATCAGAATAGAGACAACCCTGTGGAATGTTCCTTGGGCAACAACCACTGTGTCAGGTGAGGGGCCCAGACAGGAGTGTGTGATGCCACTCCTGTTTCACCCTCCGCATCCCTGTCAGATGGGGCCCCGCAACCCCAGCTCGGCCTCCAGGCCCAGCAGAGGGGAGAGAGGTGTCCATCTCCACCTCCTGTGGGCAAAGTGCACCTTGGATTGTCACAGTCCTGTTGAGGGCACCCATCTCTTCCTTTTCTCCTCATCAAGACCTGATCCCCAGCCTGTCATCCTCACTCGGCCACCAGCATGTCTCCCACACAGGAGGGAGGACCAGTCCTCTCTGGTTGAAAACAAGACAGGGGGGACATCTTACCAGGTCACACTCCTGGCACTCTTAATACTAGCTTGCTCTGGGCCAGACTGATTCCTTCCTTGGTGCTAAAAATATTGTGACTTGAAATCATCTTTGAAAAGTTCCGAAGGACAATGAGAGGAAATTTTCAGAAGAATCCATCCTCGGAAATGCCTGATTCCTTCACCCCTGGGCTGTGGTTTGGGTAGATGGTCTAAGCCCTATTGTGAGGCAGGCATCTCTAGGTAGTCCTCATCCACTGAGCAGCTCCTGGACCTCGTGGGAGTCCTGACCCCGTGGGAGGTTTGGAGGGAAGGGGCCCTTAGTCAAAAGATAACATCACCTGTCACAGCCACCACCATGAGCTGTGTCACTTGATCAGCAACTGATGGGAGTCTAGCTCTCCTGTTCAAATATATGAAGACTAAATTGTTATAGAAATGTTGTAATTTATTGCTACATTGGAAATGCCTCCAATGGCGGTATCACTTCATTCACTTTTTCCATCATCATTCATTCATTCATTAGTTTAAAAAAATTACTTGACTCCCCCAAAGAGAAGACTCCCTTTATCATACACACAAACTCAGACATAGGCAGGAGTGATGTTACGCTGTAAATTCCACCTGCAGTTTTGCATGGGTTAATGGATGGCGCACAAATCAGAGAAAATCTGTTCACCTATTGAGAGAGTCAGAAGAGGTGTTATGAAAAAGTTCATCTTCAGGTGAAATCATGATACAAAATGAGGCCCCTATGCAGCAGCAGGTGAGTCAGGTGGAGGCAGAAGGATGCATTTCAAGCAGAGGGCAGTGTGGGCAAAGGTTTGGAGCTGCCCAGTGGTCTGGTGGGTCCACAGCTCCGTGTGTGATGGCTCAGCTCAGAGAGGGGGCAGAGGGGAGAAGAGATGAGAAGGGAGGGGAGACTCAGCTGCATCATGAAGGAATCTGAATGCCACGCAAGGAGACTAAAGTTTATTTAGATAGCACAGGGACATTGAGGGGTTTTCAGCAGCGAGTGAAATGGAGTCAGGATGTGTTTAGATGTGTGTACCGGATGGTACAGGGGGAACTGGAAGAGACCAAGATGGACACCTTCCCATAAAACCACAGCATCAGCAAAGGAAACTCACAGCCTCGGCACTCACCGGAGATGTGGTATGTCCACAGCAACTTGGAATTCTGGGTCCATCTCGATGGTCCAGACACATTCAGTGTTGGGTCCGTAATAGGTGGCAATAATTCCATATTCTGTTTTGATGACTCCCCCACAGTCACGATGTCCTGCAACACAAGAAAGGACTCAGGTGCCCAGAAGCAGCACCAGGGCCACGAGGACCTGTGCCATCCCTGGGCCCCGCACCCCTGCTGATCATCCTCACTCTCTAGTTCCCGCCACCACAACCCAACCCCCACCATCCAAGTCTGATGACGCACAAAAAGGTAGTTTTCATGTTTTCAGAGCCTTAAAGGGACCCATATTCATCAGTACACT